CCGTCTCATGTATGTTATACTTATCAATGCTTACATTTTGAAGATGAAAAAACACTCTCCATAAGACTGTATGATAAAAGGAATGAATTCAACTATTTTATACCCAACTTATCCTTGATGTCGGGCGGTGATAGGAAAGTTGACAACTGAATAGTCATCCGTCTTGCCATGCAGACATGTTGATTCTTTCTGACATAGCACATTTTCAAAATACAGAACGTCAGAGCAAAAGAATCCCCGTCTTGACTATCATCAGAAGCAACTTCCGTTTGGTGTAAAGGGAAGATTAGACGTGAAAAGTCTGTGAATAGCTCACGGAAAATCGCGAAAAGAAAATACTTACTGGTGGTACCCGTGTTTTGAATTCGTCTGCGGCTGTCGACAACGACGAGAAGAACGGCAATGAGAAGGAGGTATTTGCAAAGCATCATGCAAGTTTGATAAGTCGATCTGATCTTCGAATGCCTTGTCAGAAGGTAGCGCTGAAGTGTCGACTCGCACATTTGTGCTCGTATTTATGAGTGAAATCAGTCGTTTTTTATACAGCTGCTGCTGATCACGTGAACATGTTGGCCAATGGTGTTTCATGTTCTTGTCCACAGCCAAATCAGACGTAGCGCAAAATATCAAATCCAGAGAATATTCAGTCCCTGTTATCTGTCAAAACAGGACAGGTAATACTTAGGTTGTATTTTGTTTGCTCTGTTCAGGGCCCTTTCAAAGGAGTTTGAAGGTTTAAAGAAGCATTACTCTTTGTATACTAATGTTAATAGTTGTTTAATACCTTGAAGCAGTAAATTGGAGTGGCAAAAGCTTCATCTGACCATATTTTCTTCACTTTTGTAAAACTAAGACCCGAGGGTTAAAGCACACAGTAAGTGCTGACAGGAGGTTGGTCTTAATTTAATCAAATCCCAGTGTTCACATCATCAAATATCTAGATTCTAGAAACTTCAGACACATTGTTTCGATCTCGGACACATTCAGTGTGATACTGCCAAGAACCTTCCTGAATCACAGAAACACATAGTCACCACAGTGGTTATGTGTGTCTGAACATATTGATTCCATGGAGATTACTCAATTTGGAGGTTTGAAACTTTCACGACTGTGGTTTATACAAAGCACTACTGCAATGTATTATTAACGACGACCCAATATTGATAAAACTAACAGAAAGTGTCCCTTTGTTGTGGTCAGTTGCACAAGCTGAGATTGTTGTGGAATGTGTCTTGCCTTCACGGGTCAAGATTAATATACGACAACGGGAAAGACTGATGAGAACACAAGAGAACACAAAGAACAGTTTTCTTAAACTTGTCGTTTAGCATCACCAAGGTTTATATGCAGAGAACTGCCAAACACACACGGATGGATCGCACAGCTGTAATGCTACGGAAACAAATACATACACAGGATATAATCAGAATGGCACAATGGACTCTACTTTTAGCAGAGATTTGTTTTCGGTGTGGAAAGCGTTTTGTCGCTTCTATTTTGGAGTAAATGTTGTATTTAGTATGGATTAGTCTTATAGAAGATCACTTGTTTTGGAGAGTACCAAACCCCACAGATTCCATATGTTAAACACTGGGAGTCGGTATTCTGTACCCCAACACTGTACATGTTTTTCAGCTCATATTCCAAGTAGTTTCCATACTACTGATAATTTGGACCAGAAAGGCCAATTGGTTGATCGCATTTCAGACAAATATTAATATATCCATCAAACTATAGGAGATACTGGTCATAAATCTGTCACATGTATACTGATCTGACTTCTCAGATCGCATATCTTGAAGAATAGTAAACTATACCCCAGAGCCCACCTGTTGCCTACATATGATTTTCAGTCTCGCGTGATTGTGTTGATATGTGTATGTGGACAGCTGTTTGGAAACACCCAATTCCCGTCGGCAGTTATGCTATTCTTCTTGCAAGAACAGTGAATGCCTCTTTCAAGACATTCAACAGCGATACATATACTGGCGATTCGCACAAAGAGTTGCTATGAAACACCCAGTTCCCCTCAGCTGTTATACTATTTTGTTTCGAGAACAGTGAATGCCTCTTTAAAGACATTCCACAGTGAAACATATTCTGACCTTTCGCACAAACCGCTATTATGAAACAGCCAATTCCTGCCAGCTTCTAACACTATTCTTCAAGACATTCCACAGTGATACATATTCTGACCTTTCGCACAAACAGCTAGTATGAAACACCCCATTCCTACCAGCTTCTAACACTATTCTTCAAGACATTCCACAGTGATACATATTCTGACCTTCCCACAAACAGCTATTATGAAACATCCCATTCCTGCCAGCTTCTAACACTATTCTTCAAGACATTCCACAGTGATACACATTCTGACCTTTCGCACAAACAGCCCATTCCTGCCAGCTTCTAACACTATTCTTCAAGACATTCCACAGCGATACATATTCTGACCTTTCGCACAAACAGCTAGTATGAAACATCCAATTCCTGCCAGCTTCTAAAACTATTCTTCAAAGACATTCCACAGTGATACACATTCTGACCTTTCGCACAAACAGCTATTATGAAACGTCCAATTCCTACCAGTTTCTAACACTATTCTTCGAGACATTCCACTGTGATACACATTCTGACCTTTCGCACAAACAGCTATTATGAAACATCCAATTCCTGCCAGCTTCTAACACTATTCTTCAAGACATTCCACAGTGATACATATTCTGACCTTTCGCACAAACAGCTATTATGAAACATCCCATTCCTACCAGCTTCTAATACTATTCTTCAAGACATTCCACAGTGATACACATTCTGACCTTTCGCACAAACAGCTATTATGAAACATCCCATTCCTGCCAGCTTCTAACACTATTCTTCAAAACATTCAAGAGTGTTACATATTCTGACCAGTAGCTATACGACTTTACAGTCGGTTACAGCATTTAATGGTTCGGAAAATCTTGAAATGTTTTATGAACGACATTTCAAAATTTCACGTATCAGTGAAACAAATTATGTTCGGTTAATAATTGACCTGTCTTTGCACGTATTTGTGATGCGTGTTACCGGTAGAGCAGAATACTGTTCCCAGACCACCTGGTATCAGACACATGCTCATTATATATTAAAATCACTCAATGGACTCGGTTCAGAAGAATGTAAGGTATGATTTACTAACTTGAGTTCAACCTGCGAGGAATGTAACCCGTCAATGTCTTTTAAAGCAATAAAAAGGAACCCGCATTTCTGCGTTTTCCAATCTAATGCTGGATTTACACTACGTCCGATTTTCTCTGCGTTGCGTCATGCGTTGCGTCGGAAAAATCGCAAGCAGTACTTTTTTCATTTACGCAATACACTAGGTGCGAATATTGCATGCGTTGCGATCCGATGCTATTTAGATAGGTAGGCCTCCTATTTTTGACGCAACGCAAATGAACTCGCATGAGGAATTCCCCTGATGACGTCATTCCAATAAGGTATTTCCCCAACATGTGGGTAATCAGGTAAGGTTATTTCCTCATCTTTCGATAAAAATACGCGATTCCAACGGAAGAGAAGCTGTGTTTCTGATGAGATATTATCTACAATGTGTTTCTGCGCCTGTCTGTATATAACATGCAATAATATGACAAATATTTGATAATTATTTCATTCTAAGAACAAGCATAATGACAGGAAAAAGAGGTCAACGCACTTCCGTCGATACGGAACAATTAATATCCCTTGTTGAACAAAACAGCACGCTGTACGATAAGAGATCCAGAAACTACAGAGATGTGGATGTAATCAATAACATTTGGACATCTATATCCAAGACCCTTGGTGTCAGCGTTTCAGAAGTTAACTTATTTTCCTCAGGTTTGTGTTAGTATTAAAGAAAAACCCTAAAAACTTGGAAAGCTCTCAATATTCTCGCATGATGTTATAGGTTGCAGATACGTATCATATTATGATTTATTGTAAAAGACATTGTAAAATAATCACAAACAAATTGTGTTTGTTTATGCTCTTTTATTGTCTATCAACTCCGTGTGCTTTAATTGTAGCCAGGACTCGTTGGAGGAGCATTAAAGACACGTACATAAGAAAACGAAGGGAACTAAGAGAAAGCAAAAAAAGTGGCTCAGGAAGAGATGATATTAAGGAACCAAAATGGCCTTGGTATAAAATGTTGGGCTTTCTAGATGAATACATGGAAGATGACTAGTAAGTTCCTATTCTACTTCCAAAATATCAAACAACATGATTTGTGAAAAACAAACAATTGTGTTTTTCATGCAATGGTTGGCTATTTGATATCAAGAAAAAGGTTTTAATGTTTAAAACAAACACTTGTTTTCTACGTATACAGCACAGTGAGCAACATGCCAAGTGACACAGAGGAAGGTCGGGAGGACGATGACGTGAACCCTGAAGACAGTGTTGACCGTGGATGTTCTGAAGGAAACAGCAGGTAAGAAGACAACTTATCTAGTTTGGAAACAGTCCTCTCCTAACAACATCGGTCTGCCATGGTACTTGGCCCTGGTTGTTAACATATTGTCTGAATGCATCCCTCACACTTTCTGCCTCTCGGCTAACGCGCCTGTTGTGCCTAGGGAGACTGGACCATGTTGCACATTCTTGAGAACACTCACCAGATTCACCAGAACGTCTCTGCTGTGTTGGTGTCGTAGAGCTCTGGAGATAATTGTGGAGTACACATGCTGCTTTAACGAGGCGTTTACCCGTTTCAGGCTCCACTGCTATTCTGGAATGAAAAACTCTCCATCTTGCGGCGAGAATGCCAAAGGTGCTCTCAACTATTCTCCTCGCCCGACTGAGGCGATAGTTGAAGATTCTCGCTTCTTCATTCCGTCCCCGTCCACCATAAGGTCTCATTAGATTTCTCAAGAGCGGCAAACCTTCATCTGTGATGAACACATTTTGGAGGGGTCCAAACTCCTCTGCTCGTGGGAGTGTTCTGTCCGATGGAAGGGACAAATTACCATTTCTCAAAGCCTGACTCCTGAGTCATTGTTTATCCCATATGATCCCACGTCAATCATCACAAACTTGTAGCAAGCATCAACCACAGCCAGTAGCACAATTGAAAAAGTCCCTTTGTAATTGTAGTATACAGAACCTGACCTAGCTGGTGCCTTCATCACAATATGCTTGCCATCAATGGCCCCACAGCAATTTGGAAATTGCCATGTGTCTTCAAAACTCTCAGCAATCTGTTTCCACTCCTCGTGTGCATTAGGAACTTTCATAACTTCTGGTTGCAGTGTTTCCCAAATCACAGAGCACACCTCTTTGACTATAGCTCCAATAGTCCAGGCAGCTATTCTGTAGGTGTAGGACAGTGACTGAAACGATTCTCCTGTAGCCAAAAACCTAAAAAGTAAAACAGTTATTGTTAATATATTTGATTAATTTTCTTTGAAATGAACAATAACTTAATAAGCATATTTGCGCCTTGCAGACAGACCTCACGTCAAGTATCTCCTTCACCTTCGACCTCAAAATGTGTCTCACCTGTTGTCCCCGTACCGAAAAAGAGACCACGGAAATCAGAGGACAACAGTTCTAAATTAATTGGTGTTCTTGAGGAGACAAGAGAGAGGAACCGTTCAAGACAGGAGGCGAGAGACAAGGTCTTAGCAGAGTCTTTGGCAGCACTACACAAGGAGCACGACAGTGATGAAATGTTCATGATGTCTTATGCAAAAGATTTAAAGCTACTTCCAGATGCTTCCAAAAGTCTTGTAAAAATTAAAATTGCCCAAATATTTCATGATGCTCAATTTGGTTCATGTCAACAGAACCCTCAGGATTATAACTATGTTCCCCAGGGAAATCAGTACTGCTCAAATTCTATGTGGAATTTGTAATGCCTGAATGTGTGAGAGAACAATTAGCACGGAAGTACCGTATATGATAACACGTTGGTATGAAAATGAATATTTTCTACTTATTTTTAGTTCAATGTTTCGAAAACACATCAAAGGTTGGTGATGTTTAATTTGAATTGTTACGTTTTATGTACCAATGTAACAATTAAAGAGCTCTTAAATTCGATATATATAGTTGTTACTTTTTAAGGAACAGTGAAAAGCCCTGAACATACCTTAACTTACCTTCTTCTTCCTCCTCCTCCTCATCTATTAGTAGCTTAAAAGCAATCTTTGACGCCATCACAGAGTCAAAACGCACTGGCTTATATCGCAGATGATCGCACCTAGTGTATTGGAAAAAAACGCACTCGGTAACGCATGCGTCACAAAATGCGGACGTAGTGTAAATCCAGCCTAACAGGATGTGGCACAGAAAGCCTGTTCTCCTTCCATAGCGCTCAAACCAGGACTTGGTGGCTGAAGAGAAAAATGGGTTTTGATAAACAGCGATACACAACGATTAGTAAAACATTGTTCACAAATATAGGGAGCCTTTTCTACTGCCACCCTTACATGGGAACCGCGATTAGTAAAATATTGTTCAGATATACAGGAAGTCTTCTCTCTTGTAACCTTTCTCTACTTTAACATCTCTTTGATGGGTAATAAATCGCTCAAAGTGTTGAAGGTTCCCCTGCACATCTTCTTGGCAAATGTGAGTGAGTTAGTGAGGACATGTCGTACTATTACGGAAATACTGTTAAACGCGGCGTAAACGTCCCCTCATTATCCATAAAATTACCTGGCAGTGCCCTTTATTCAGCAATATGACGCGGGTTTGGTAACACACGAGTCCATACAAGACAATAGAAGCGACAAAACCCTTTCCACATCCATAAGAAATCTCTGCTAAAAGCAGAGTCGATTGTACAGTTGTGACTATATCATGAGTATATATTTATTTCAGCAGTTTTTCAACTGTACGATGTTTGTAAACAAATCGAGTTTGGACCAGACAATCCAGTGATTGTCACCAGGAGAATAATTCCACCACGTTGCGTGGCAACTTGGACCAAGTCAACTCTCTGTCCACAAGAATGAAGGTTGTCTGCAGTAGGTCCATAAGCCTCCAATACCCATTTTGAAAGTTCAGTCTTCTGTGGGATGAACTGAAAAAACAGAAGTAAATCCGATAGATTAAAAAGGCAGAAGAAGTAATGAGTCCGATGATCGGATTTAACACAGCTTTGTGTTTTGTGTGGTATGGTTTGGCGTGTGTGATGTGATGTGGTCCGTATAGCATGTGCATGTGAGTGAGTTTTAGTTTGCGCCGCACTCAGCAATATTTCAGCTGAATGGCGGCGGTCTGTAAATAATCGAGACTAGACCAGACAATCCAGTGATCAACAACATGTTCATCGATCTACGTAACTGGGATACGATGACATGGGTCAACCAAGTCAGCGAGCCTGACCACACGATCCCGTTAGTCGCCTCTTACGACAAGCCTGGGTTGATAAAGACCAGATAAATGGTAGCGGTCTGTAAATAATAGAGTAAGTGTGCATGTGGTGTGGAGTGGTGTCTGTGTGTTGTGGTATGTATGAGAGGTTGTGTGGTGTGGTATGTGTGTGATGTGCTGTGGTGTGTGAGTAATATGGTGTGATGATGTGTTGTGGTGTGTGTTTGATGTGTTGTGGTGTGTGAGTAATATGGTGTGATGATGTGTTGTGGTGTGTGTTTGATGTGTTCTTGTATGTGTGTGATGCGGTGTGGTGTGGCATGTGAGTGATGTGTTGTGGTTTTTGTGTGGTATGTTGTGGTATGTGTATGGTGTGGTGTGGTGGGTGTGTGGCATGTGTGTGATACGGTGTGGCTTGTCTGTGCTCTGCTGTGGTGTGGTATGTGTGTGGTGTGGTATGTGTGTGATGTGGTGTGGTATGTGTGTGATATGTGTGTGGTGTGGTATGTGTGTGGAGTGGTATGTGTGTGATATGTGTGTGGTGTGGTATGTGTGTGGTGTGGTGTGGTATGTGTGTGGTGTGGTGTGGTGTGGTGTGGTGTGGCTTGTCTTTGGTGTGGTGTGGTATATGTGTGGTGTGGTATGTGTGTGGTGTGGTGTGGTATTTGTGTGATGTGGTGTGCTGTGATGTGGTATGGATGTGGTGTGGTGTAGTGTGGCTTGTCTTTGGTGTGGTGTGGTATGTGTGTGGTGTGGTGTGCTGTGATGTGGTATGTGTGGTGTGGTGTAGTGTGGCTTGTCTTTGGTGTGGTATGTGTGTGGTGTGCTGTGGTATGTGTGTGGTGTGATGTGTGGTGCGGTATGTGTGTGGTGTGATGTGGTATGTGTGTGGTGTGGTGTGGTATGTGTGTGGTGTGGAATGTGTGTGGTGTGGTATGTGTGTGATGTGGTGTTGTATGGCATGTGTGTGGTGTGGTGTGAGGTGAGGTGAAATTGGCTTTTACGTCGTGCTTGAGAATATTTCGCTCCTTATAATGACGACGTGCATGTACATGTGTATGTGTATGTGCGGCTGCTTGTACTTGCCCAGACTTAAGCTGGTTTTATAGTGCTAGCCCACTGAGAAACCATGCCACAGTGAAGCATGAATACCCCACTCAGACACATTATACTGACTCCGAGCCGACCAGTCCTTGTTGTACCGAGCGCCAGGAAGGGACCAAGAAGTACCATATTTTAACGTCTTTTTGGTATGACGCGTGGTGTGGTGTGGTATGTGTGTGGTGTGGTGTGGTGTGGTGTAGTGTGGCTTGTCTTTGGTGTGGTGTGGTATGTGTGTGGTGTGGTGTGGTATGTGTTTGGTGTGGTGTGGTATTTGTGTGATGTGGTGTGCTGTGATGTGGTATGGATGTGGTGTGGTGTAGTGTGGCTTGTCTTTGGTGTGGTGTGGTATGTGTGTGGTGTGGTATGTGTGTGGTGTGGTGTGCTGTGATGTGGTATGTGTGGTGTGGTGTAGTGTGGCTTGTCTTTGGTGTGGTATGTGTGTGGTGTGGTGTGGTATGTGTGTGGTGTGGTATGTGTGTGGTGTGATGTGTGGTGCGGTATGTGTGTGGTGTGATGTGGTATGTGTGTGGTGTGGTGTGGTATGTGTGTGGTGTGGAATGTGTGTGGTGTGGTATGTGTGTGATGTGGTGTTGTATGGCATGTGTGTGGTGTGGTGTGAGGTGAGGTGAAATTGGCTTTTACGTCGTGCTTGAGAATATTTCGCTCATATGACGACGTGCATGCATGTGTATGTGTATGTGCGGCTGCTTGTACTAGCCCAGACTTAAGCTGGTTTTATAGTGCTAGCCCACTGAGAAACCATGCCACAGTGAAGCATGAATACCCCACTCAGACACATTATACTGACTCCGAGCCGACCAGTCCTTGTTGTACCGAGCGCCAGGAAGGGACCAAGAAGTACCATATTTTAACGTCTTTTTGGTATGACGCGTGGTGTGGTGTGGAGTGGGTGTGATGTGGTATGTGTGTGGTGTGGAGTGGCTTGTCTTTGGTGTGGTGTGGTATGTCTGTTTTATTGTATTTGTGTGGTGTGGTATGTGTGTTTTATTGTATGTGTGTGGTGTGGTATGTGTGTGGTGTGGTATGTGTGTGGTGTGGAGTGGCTTGTCTTTGGTGTGGTGTGATATGTCTGTTTTATTGTATTTGTGTGGTGTGGTATGTGTGTGGTGTGGTGTGGTATGTGTGTGGTGTAGAGTGGCTCGTCTTTGGTGTGGTGTGGTATGTGTGTGATGTGGTGTGGTGTGGTATGTGTGTTTTATTGTATGTGTGTGGTGTGGTGTGGTGTGGTATGTGTGTGGTATGGAGTGGCTCGTCTTTGGTGTGGTGTGGTATGTGTTGTATGGTATGTGTATGGTGTGGTATGTGTGTGGTGTGGTGTGGTGTGGTGTGGTATGTGTGGTGTGGTGTGTGTTTGGTGTAGTATGTGTGGTGCGGTGTTGTGATGCGGTATGGGTGTGGTCTGGAGTGGCCTGTCTTTGGTGTGGTGTGGCATGTGTGTGGTGTGGTGTGGTATGTGTGTGGTGTGGCATGTGTGTGGTGTGGTGTGGTATGTGTGTGGTGTGGTATGTGTGTTGTGTGGTATGTGTGTGATGTGGTGTTGTATGGCATGTGTGTGTTGTGGTTTGGTTTGTCTGTGGTGTGGTGTGGTATGTGTGTGTTGTGGTGTGGCTTGTCTGTGATGTGATATGTGTGTGGTGTGGTGTGGTTTGTCCGTGTTGTGTTGTGGTGTCATGTAGTATCTGTGTGATACTGTTGTGTTGTGATGTGGTGTGGTATGTGTATATATACACATGGAAAAATGTATCGCAACACCCCATTTATTCAAAGTAATATTACCATTACCCATAGCAAAGATACTCACCTAAACCCAAATTTAAATTACCATCTGGATATATTGACCCTAAAGGAATAATCAAATGGCAAATCTAAACGCAAAAAGAAAATATAACCTGTAGTTAATTCATAGAAGCAAATATACCAATCGAACTGTGGTCGTTCGACGTGAACACGCGCGGTCAATATCACGATTCTTGCATAGCCTGTGCCAGCTGCAACTCCCACTACCTGACCCTCCTCCACACTGACTATATCTTGTTGGAGGAGTTGTCCTAATACATCAACACCCTCTGTCGAAGGAAGCTGTGTGTTAAATTACTAGGGTTAGGTATTGAAAATTGTTTCGTATTGCCCTATATTGGGACATGAGTTGGCGTATTGCAATATATTGTGAAAGTGTAATGTTCACATGGCTTCCTTTCTTTTGAAACAATGCCACTGGCCATTGTCAGAACTCAGATGCGTTTGTACAAGAGATCAATTGAAACTGTTTCCAAACTGAAGACTTCGCTTTGGAACTGGAGAAAACGCGTATGCAGTGGCGTTTCGGTTTGTTTATCCCTACGAGTGCCGTGCCAATCTATTTTCTTTTTATCTATATGGTTTAAAGTCACGCAACTGCAATTATATGACCAACAAACATTCTCCAAACTATTCAAGGATAATAATATAGAGGAAACACAAATGTTAGCATTCGTCACCACTCGCCCCTTTCCGTAACCTCCAAGACGGCTTGTCCCGGAATAACACGAGTGGGTCACGAATGGATGTTAGTAGTATTTTGTACTACATTACGGAAATTGCCGATCGTATCGGGTGAACCGGTTCGCGAAAAGTGTACCGCAATATATCGTAATGTGAAGTTCGAATTGCAATATACCGGTTAACCGGTATTATCGCCCACCCCCTATAAATTACCACAAACCAGTCAGTGTGTGTGCCAGTTTGGTTTTACGTATCTTTTAGTAATGTTCCAGCAACATTCCGGCCTACCAGAATGGGCTTCACACATTGTACCCAGGTTAGGAATCGAACCCGGGTCTTCGGCGTCCAGAGTGCTTTAGATAGCGTCTGTGGTTAAAAATATGTACAAATGTATGTGCAGACATGTTAAAAGTTGTCCCACGACAATTATTTTAGCTAAGCCCATTTGCGCTGAGACGCAACCCAGTCCCAAAACGGCCACGAAAGTGGAGCGACGGGTTCCAGAATAACGCCATTCGTGGCCCATTCGTGTTAGCGGGACCATTCGTAACCACCTCGTGTTATTCTGCGACCATTCATGACCAACTCATGATATTCCAGAACATTTGAATAGCGACTCGTTCCCCTCCAGAAGGATTTCATATTGGCGCCTGAAGGCCAGAAATTCTTCAGACAAAAACGATCAGTTTCTTTGTTTATTTTCAAAAGTAATAAACATAACAGAAGCACTCGAAACCTCTTCGAAACTTATGGTTTTAAGAAAAATATGTCAGTTGAGTGTAGATTAACTTCTTCAAAGTTCCCTGACATTTATTAACCTAAAATGTGATCCCACACCCCTTGCATAGGCAATAAAAACGATACATAACTATAAAGATAGTAAGTCCAAATACAGGTTAGTATTTGTTAAAACAAGACCAGTTAAAGCACATTCGAACCCCTATGTCTCGAAATCGGTTGAGACGAATTCTCGGTTGTGTCAAACTCATCTCTCGGTCCTTGCCGATTTCCTTATATTTATTATATTGCTACGCTGATGTCTCGTACTGGATGTGTCGAATAGTGGTTGTTTCGAACTCATTTTAGGGTCCCCAAAAGCCATTATAAGTACAAACTAACCCTTTTGTCTCGAACTGTCAAAGCTGGTTCTTGCAACTGAAAACTTGATTCGCGCAATTAAAAGTCATGCTCATAAACGTGCTACCAAACAAAAGGTGAGGATTAACGGATTCAACAATCAAGTAGCATGTTTAACTACACATCTATACACACATTATCAACCAGTTTAGCTGTCTTAAGCTTTTAGATTTAATTATTTCCCCCCATGAACCAATTCTGTCATCATTGATGGCGATATTGTGAAAAAGAAATCTGACATTAGCAGGAAATATTCAGGATTCGAAATGTGAGGGTTCGGAATAATGAGGTTGTGTTAAAAATCACAACAATTATGTCATTTCAAATCAGTAAACATCATGGAAATCAGTAAACATCATGGAAACCTGTAAACTTGAGAAATGAATTTCCTGACTGACTGAGTTTGGTTTTACGCCGCTTTTAGCAATATTCCAGCAACATCACGGCGGGGGACACCAGAAATGGGCTTCACACATTGTACCCATGTAGGGATTCAAACCCGGGTCTTCGGCGTGACGAGCCAATGCTTTAACCATTAGGCTACCCCACCGCCCCTCGTAATAATGAGGTTGTGTTACCTGTGACACGGCGTATATAGCACAAAGACAAATGCATAAACACAATCCCTTCATTTCAAACCCATTTCAAGTCATAAACGCTTTAGGATATCTGCCTTCGATGTTTGATGATATATTGAATATATTGATTTGTTGGAGCGCCAATATCCCAATGAAGTGAAATGTAAGCGCAATATTTAACATAATAGTTCATAAGTGATATATTGTTATGCTCGTGGCTGTATTTATCACCTCTTATTGCAAATTTACGCGGATATTATACTGAAATATATCAAGAAATCAAAATATACAAGCTGATAACTGACGGCGAATGAGAGCTGAAGAATGAAGGCCATTCGGTCATAACAGCTTGTCCCGTCATTTGGAAACTGATTGAATAACGGGAGATCGCGCTTACAGGAATAAGGAAAGAAATGGCTGAGCGATACGGGTGTTATGAACACATTTGATTGTCGAGCTCCGAATTTGTTGTGGGTTTGTCGCAGTTTTGTATAATATCCGCCATAATCGCGGATGATTATTCATAGAACAATATTATGCAAAACAATATTCATTTCTGGTGAATTGGCGGAATTTATATCCAGATGCCAGTATTCAGTGAGTGAGTGAGTGAGTATGGTTTTACGCCTCTTCTAGCAATATTCCAGCAATATCACGGCGTGGGACACCAGACGTGGGCTTAACAGTGAACCCATGTGGAATCGAACACGGGTATGCGGCGTGACGAGCGGACGCTTTAACTACTGGGCTACCCCCACCGTCCACAGAATTCGGAATCTGTAACAAGTTGCTCTGTATGTCTGAGATAATCCGCACAGCGGCAATTGTCGTCTGACAGAAGCACGGTTGTAGGGAATCGTACACCACGCGCTGCACGTGGGCACATTCCGCACGAGACCTGCGTGCAAAGCGAACTGTCAGTGGCTCCGGTTTCCCACACTGCGCCCAAGATTTTCACCTTCCGATACTTATTCTGCCTTATTGAACACTTTGTGTCAGGGCGTCTTTAAAACACAGCAAAAGTCGTTGACCCTGCAATGTATCGTACAGCTAGCATGGTCGAAACGTGTCAGTATTATGACTTGTTTTGTATATACCAGACGGGTCATGCAACAGTGTTAAAGTAAACATAAACACGTCAAATAAGCACCTGGGTATCTCGCATTTCACTCTGATCTTTAGCTGAATGGCGACACCTGTAATATTCTTTAGTTGATCGCACAATTTAATGTGACTGTTACCTTCCAAGCAGATTGATATTATGTGTGTCGCGACAATCAGCCTTGAACTTGCCCGCTGATGCGCTTGGACTAACCGAAACCAGCCGAATGAACTTTCACGGAAACATTCGTCACCACTCGCTCCTTTCCGTAACCTCCAAGAAGCATCATTCGGCCATTCGTCACCACTCGCCCCTTTCCGTAAACTCTGCTATTCGGCTTGTCCCGGTATAACACGAGTTGGACACGAATGCAGTGGGTTACGATTATGAAACAGACAAGCGCACGGACATGACAGTTATCTGGGTCAGCATGACATAGGATGGCCACTGGCCGACTGACATTAATGTATTCATGTTGACCTGGTCAACCGATCCAGGCGGGTGTACATTTTTGCCATAAATGAGTAATAAATAGGTTAGGTTTATTGATTGAATGAATGAGTGAATGAGTCAGTGAGTGTTTGAGGTTTTACGCCGTTTTTAGCAATATTACAGCAATATCACGGCGGGTGACACGAGAAAAGGGCTTCACACATTGTACCCATGTGGGGAATCGAGCCCGGGTCTTCGGTGTGACGAGCGAACGCTTTAACCACAAGTCTGTCAACCGACCCCCCATGAAATGAAACTTTTGATATATAATGCTCAATATCCGATCATATGACCGTAGTTAATATTCATGGCCATTGTGAGTTAAGATGTGGGTGTTCTGCTACAGGTTTGGGTGGTCGTACATAAAAAGGATGTCAGGAGGTGAATGGGTGTGTGTGGTTAAACGTCACTTTTAGCAATATTCCAGCAATATCATAGTAACGTGATTGCTGTTGTAGGGTTGTTCAACCAGGACCACATGCAGTTTGAGGCTGAGAGGCAGCAGAATCCAAACAAGGAGCCATCTTTAGCTGCAATGACAGATAAGGCCATACGGATACTCAGGAAAAACCCCAAGGGATACTTCCTCTTCGTGGAAGGTAAGGGCAACTGTTTCATGTAGGCCAACACCGGGTGTCTTCACTGATCATCCATTTTGCATTCACATATATAATATTATCACTATTAAGTCAGTTACGGCTGAACTCGGAATCTCTTATCTTCGGGTAATCGAGACTGGTTGCTCTCTGGTTCTGACGCTAGATGTTCTGGCAACACCCCTCTTTCAGACAGCTTATATGTCGGGAGCGTATAATCGGTTAAGGAAAAGGTTTACGTCTTTGCGTGTGATTGGTCAAACCCAACATTGCACCCACTCTGAAATACCGGATCCGTCTTTCGCGGTCCACAAAGCCTTGAAAGTCGTCATATGAGTGAAAACAGCACCAGCACACATTCGAATCTAGTACTACAAGGGTGCTGTCAACGTGCCTGGAATTAGTAAACGAATTTAAAAGGTGATTTTTTGCTGCCTTGGATGAACCATGATTTTGGCGTTGAATTGCGGAGATAGCTGTTTTCGGTGAGTCGAGGCGTATAACTTTTGAAATAATGATCCGATTGTGACCATTTATAGATCATTTTGTAGGGAAATCATCTAGCTTTCGATCCGTAGGCCTCGGCGGGCCTTAAAATATTTTACGTGGTGAAATATAACTTTGATCGAGGAGGGGGTGGTTTCGTCGTTACACCCCTTTCCTTGTATATAGTACTAGATACTACTAGGGTAGGGTCTATATACCTATGTGTCTTACTAACGCTGTTTTTAAGCGCGACACGCCCCTATGCTTGCTATTACGAAACCTAAATAAAACGATTCGCAATTGCCTCAGTTTCTGCATTTCTTAGTTTTGCAACAGACGTTCCATTTCCGAGAGCTATAATGTTCCACGAATGTGTATGTGTTATGAGTATTTAAATATCCTTTTATTTGTTTGTGTGTTGTTGTTTTTATTAAATCCGGTATTGTTCAGATTCATGTATTCTTTGGAATTCCTTTCTGGTGTCCCCCGCCGTGATGTTGCTGGAATATTGCTAAAAGCGGCGTAAAACCAAACTCAGTCAGTCAGTCAGTCTTTGGAATTCCTGATGTTGCTTTTTATCGTTTCATCCAATGTGAATTATCACCCGATCCAGGAAATATTACCTACTACTAGCAGGTCTTTGTTAGCAACTGTTAGCTGCTACTAGCAGTTACAAAGACAGCCTTTCCACCCCTGGAGACTAACAATTACTGCTACTACTAGCTAACAGACACTACATGAAATATTATGACCATATTAGGCATCGTTATATTTCGCATGCAAAGCACGCCATATTGGGCCGAGGAAACACACGGTAGGTTGTGTAGTTATTTAACCGTAGTTTACAAATCATGAAGCACAGTGCCTTATCGAGTTTGATTTTTGTTGATATATGTATATTTGTGTTTCTGACTGGTATCACTTGCTTGTGCAGATCATTGCAATGTCTTTGATCAACATTCTACCTAAGCTTGGTAGGATAATTGAGGCCTAAGAACTCAGTATTTAGAACTAGTCTATCTTACAACGTGCCTCCATTGTTAAACATCCCGCTCAATATATTTTACTCTTTATCATCTCTTAAGTTGTCAAATCATGAAGTCAATTATACCTTGTGCATATTTTCTCACTCAGTCAACCCATTTTGTATTCCATCATAACAGTCTTGTAACTATCTACCTGAGTGAGGAAGCACTTCTTTAAAATTTAATAAAACTGAAAACTTCGCTTCTCTGGGAAAAGGTATCGATAATAATCATCTTGTGGTATAAATAGGACGGAAGTGTTTGCTATTTTAGTAACTCTATATTGTTGGAAGGAAAATTTGTAAGGCTATTAACCACTCCTCCCTCTCATGAAAGATAATATATTCTAACCCACTTTGTGTTGCCATTTCTTCTACCTTTTTACAGGTCAGTATGGGCATCACTACTCAGGTGAGTTCCTTTTGCTCTGCCTTTGGTTTTTAATGAAATTGGCACACACACACACACACACACACACACACACACACACACACACACACACACACACACACACACACACACACACACACACACACACACACACACACACACACAAAAACACACACACAAACACACAAACATAACACCAACAAACAAAACAATCTCAGGTATTTTTCTCACACACTACAAGAATTCGGTATCTAAAACAGTAATGTGTAGCTGATTAACACAATGTTATTTTGTTTGTTCAGGCCAGTAAGATATACTCTGCAAAAAAAGAAACGCACAGGTGAAAACTCAGGAATGTAAACACTTTATTTTGTTTCCAAATAAAACTTTAACTAATGATCGCACGAACGTAAAATTTCACATGGATGTTGTCAAGAGTCAGCTTTACAACATGCAGCTATCATTTGTCTCTGAAACCATTGCACCGGGCGTACAGATGGCGTGGAGGTCAGTACCTGTTGTGACCACCTCGAGCTTGCAACACAGCTTGGCACCTCCTGTCCATGGACATGATCAGTCTTTGAATCCGTGCTTGGGGGATCCTCCTCCATTCCTCCTGCAAGGCTTGAGACAGTTGTTGCAACGTTTGGGGTTGAGGCTGACGACGTCGAACGCGTTTCCCAAGCTGGTCCCACAAATGCTCTATTGGGTTCAAATCGGGGATTTTGAAGGCCAGGAAGAACTGTGATGTTCTGATTCGTCAGGTAGTCCATCGTGATGCGAGCCACGTGCGGTCTGGCGTTGTCCTGTTGGAAAACGTGGACGTTGAGGGTTGATGACAGGTAAAAGATGACGTTGCAGAATTTCATCCCTGTAACGAATTGCAGTCAGGTTACCACGGACGTGCACCAAGTCACTTCTCCGTTGTAAGAAATGGCCCCCCATACCATCACTTCCCCTCCAAATCTGTCCGCTTCCAACTACAATTACGGGCGTAACGTTCGTTTCTCCGTCTATAGACCCTCGTCCTACCATCGTGTCTTTGAAGTTGGAAACGAGATTCGTCGCTGAACCAAATTCGCTGCCAATGTCTCCAATTCCATCTCTGGACGTTCCTGCACCATCGAACACGTGCATGCAGGCGATGATAGTCGTAGTGTGCATCCTACGTGAGGTCGTCGAGGGCGTATCCCGTGCTGTCTGAGGCGATTTCTGATGGTCTGGGCGGAGACGCGGCGAAGACCTGGGGACGTTCTCTGCTGTTTGTGTTGCTGGGACGGCCGGTTACGTAAATGAAACACCCGGATGTAGCGGTCCTGTGCAGCATTGGTTACCCGTGGTCTACCACTCCGAGGTCGGTCGCGGGTCGAGCCCAGTTGATTGTAGCGCCTCCATAAACGGGAAATTGTTGTGTGATGCACGTTGAAGTGTCTTGCAACTGATGACTGAGATTCGCCAGCCTCAAGACGTCCGATGGCGATGTTCCGGTCAGCTTCGCTAAGTCGTGGCATGTTGAATTCGTCAGTAAACTGGCGTTGAAAGTGAATTGAACACGTTAAACTGCCTTCCTCATATACCCTACACACTGGTGCATAGGTGAAGCAACTTTCACGTGCATATCGTTCGAAGTGTCATTTACACGTGAAAATTTCATGATATTTTCAAAAACCATCATCAAACAACAATATTTCATGAAATGGTGTGTTTGAGCGATACTTAATGGATATGAACAAGTATACATTATGTTTGGTTAAAGTAACCGGGTTTTGTTTGCATAGAAATAAAATAAAGTTAATTTTAAATTTCATTATCACCTGTGCGTTTCTTTTTTTGCAGAGTATATGTTCATATTTTATGTCAATAAATTGGTATATTACAAATATCGAAAGTGCTATGAATCTTCATCTTGGAAACCAATGTCACCCAAGAAATCAAATATATTTGTTAGGTAGAAATGGTTGAAGAATTCGTTCATGGGGAAATAAGAAATATGAATATTGGTTACTTTGGGGGTACTTATTGATTATCAAGTCTTTGTTTATGGTTTCCTGTTGTTCCTTAGTCTGGTGCAATTCAACCTAAACTTTTTTCTTTCATTTTTTATGGGCGAGGTTTACTCCCCATACATCTGTGTATTATCCATATTTTAAGCCACTCTTGTAAGTTTGTCACACATCTGACTGCATTTTTTAAGCCTGCTAAGAAACAATATTATAGTACAGGCAAATTATAAACAACTGTGTCATTTCACAGTCTGAAGTAACATTCTTTTGATAAAGTGAAATTACTCTGGGTGGATTAAAGGATTATGAGAGGAAATGTTCTTTTTGTCTTTATTGTATACTTTACACCACAGTTTCAGATTGTTCTCAATATTTGCCGACATGGTGACATTATACCATCATGCCTAAATCTAGATAAAGTTTGTGATGAAAAAGAAGTATTTTCATTATACAACTGAATAATCACCTTATGTGGTAAACAAGCCATTTTGTGTTTTATATGGTAAATACCCAGTATTAGGAAATAACTCTTTGATGCTTTGGATGCTTTCAAAAGCTGATCTGTCATTAACTCCCGTATATTAAATATAAGTTAACCAAGTGTTAAATTATGTCATGTTTTAGTTTCGGTCACATGGACACTTTCCTATGTTTCAGAAACGACAAAGAAAAGATCTAAATGAACAGCAAGTTACTGTTCTTGAAACAGCTTTCTCTGAAGGTTTAATTTCAGCTGGAAGAAAGTTTCAGAATGGGTTTAAAGAATTAAGTCTTCAGACAGGACTGTCTGAAGACAGAATCAAAGCAAGTATATTGTTGGGTTCAGGTAATGTTTATGGGTATTTGTTAATCATAATTTGTTACAGATACCTTTTTATTCAAGCACATCCATTATTTTGTGTCAAATTGTACATTTTCAAAAGTTCTGAAAACATCTGTCCAAACTATTGTTTTACATTACAAATTGTGAGGTTTTATTTTTTCTCATTAAGGTTTGCTCAATACATTTATTCAGATTCTACAATGAAGTAATTTTCCATATTTGTTTGTGTATTATCACATAAATGTTACTTTCCTATTTTGCAATTATTATGTGTTACTAATTTAAAAGTTTGCTCTATATTCAGATCTTGGGCTCAATACCCCTTGAATGTATTTTTTCCTATTTTACAAATTTTGTGCGTAATCAATTTAAAAGTTTCCACTATATTTAGCTTATGTCATAGGCCATCATTTAGGGTTTTAGGTCAATTCAAACATATCTGTGAACTAGCACAGAGCTAAAATCCAAAAATATTGCTTTACTGAATATTATTCATAAAACAATCGTGCCGATCAATTCCAGATTTGGATTGGAAACCGAAGGGCCAGGGACAGAAGAGGTGGTAGTCCCAAACCGAGCCAATCAGCCAAATATGTGGCCGGCCCAAATGCTTATTCATATTTCTTAAGCTGCCAACCTCGAGGAAGGTGCAATAATAAAGTAACAATTTGTTCCTTGAAAGTTTGTACTAACACAGCTTTGGTATGGTTTGCAATTCAGTTGATCACATAGTTATTTTATTGGGAAAAACAGAATTTCTGCCTCTCAAGTTTGAAAGAATTTGTCATTTTAATATTTTTTGACTATCTATAAGAAGAATCACCCACAAACACTTATTACATATATGACATGTTCTTAAGTGTATAGTGGAGGAGCCTGACAGTTGCAATAACTGTGTACACATACTTAGGGCTGTCACATGTCGAGTTTTTAATGAAAATATGAACTGTGCATGTATTTTATTCTATTTTTCTTTCTCAAATTCTAACCGTTTCATAGCTGAAGATATCTGGCATTGAGCCATTAGTTTGACAACTTGATGATCAACAGTGTATGACTTCTAAATGCTGTTCAAAGACTTGTGCTAATACAGTTAGACACCCATCTGAATGATATAGGTGAGTAAAAACATAAATCAAAGCTGTATCTTGGCATTCCCAAACACACGTTAGTACCTGTCTATTATAAGTAGACACAAGAATGCCCGGGTTAAAATTTGTCTTCAGTAACCCATGCTTGTCGTAGGAGGCCACTAACGGAATCGGGTGGTCAGGCTCGCTGGCTTGGTAGACACATGTCATCGTATCCCAATTGCGCAGATCGATGCTCATGCTGTTGATCACCAGATTGTCTGGTCCATACTCCATTATTTACATACCGCCGCCATATAGCTGGAATATTGCTGAGTGCGGCGTAACACTAAACTCACTCACTCACCCACTCACTATTATAAGTATGTGAATACACCCCCACTGATCCAAAATAGTATTCCTGAAATATCTGTTTGTTTCTACTTTACACTGTATTGTTGCTATTTATACATTTGTTTATGTTTATTAACATATGCTTACACGTTCTTTGTATTTTGTGTAATACCTCAGTTAGTGCCAGAGAAACCACTACTTATCCAGCTCATCACTCATGAATATAACATAAGTCAAGGGTTTGTCAGGTGATTACTTGAATGTTCAGATCACACAGCTTGAACACTGCTGTATCATACTGTATGTAACACAAGTGAAAATATATGTAGAAATATATACACTTGATGTCTTTACATATACTTAAATATAGATACTGCATTACAGTTTTGTTTGTAATAGATAACTAATTTTTTTAATGTCTACTACAGAAAGTTTGTTAACATCATATATTGTCCAGTCTTCCATGGTTTTCTTCTGAAGGGCCCTTTTAATGGAAAGGTCATAGCCCAAAGGCATTGGTAGAAAGCGTGTGGTTATGATGTCTCCAAATGCTTGGTCCTGATCAATCTTCAGCTTTATAAAATTATTATATTATAGGATATTTATATAGCGCACGAATCCACGCAACTAGTGCTTGCTCTAGGTGCTGGTATTGTTTTCCTGGTATACAACTCTTGCTGCCTCTAGGCTGGGTGGACTGGGACACATAGTCACAGTATTTTGTCCAAGTTCACGTTGCACGTTGCTGGTGTTTGCACCTATTCATGTGGCCACCATCTGGTCATATACTAAGGCATTAGTGGGTTCTTTTTAACTCTGCAGACATGTGTCATTGAAAATTCAACCTTAAGGTATATTTTCCTGACAGCTTGAAACAAATGAAATGAAAGAATATGTTGCTTTGTGGTTTCTCCGTATATTTTTGCAGGAGAGGTCCAATTACTGGATGGTAATTTGTTAGCTTGTATTAGCCAATCAGATTGATTAATGACGCGATTGTCACGTGATGATTTGTTTCAGTTTCATTTATTTAAGTAACCCTTATCATTCCTGTGTTTACATGTTTGTTAAAGTAATATACATTTATCCATCCTTAGTGCTTGCTCGAGGCGCTGGTATTTTGTTCCACGATCTTTGGATGTCAATCTCAACTCCCTTGGGAGTATACAACTCTTGCTGCCTCTAGGCGCACCGAGTTTATTGTGGCTTCTCATCCTAACGATGTACCCATTCACAGCTGGGTGGACGGGGACACATAGTCACAGTACTTTGTCCAAGCTGTACCCGTAACTAGGTGTTTGCACGTATTCATGTGGCCACCATCTCTTCATATACCAACGTATTCATGGGTTCTTTTAAGTGCACAGGGTTGTGTACTGTACACTAGGGGCTGTGACAACACGGAAAGTGTCTGCACACAAAGTTGACTCCAAGGTTTTTACACCCGGTCACAGGTGGGCTCGATCCCGTCACCTTAAGCTCGCTGGATCACTAGCCTGATGTTTCATCCAGCTCGCCCACCGCGCCCCACATACCTAATACATATATACCTAATACTAATGTGAATTGTGGAGAGCCAAGTCCATCCATAAGGGTATATACTATACATTATCTGTCTTGTGATGCACTACAAGGTCCCAATAGTCACCTTAACATCTGATGCTACTGGGTACCCATTAACTGCTGTGTGATCAGAGGCATTTTTGTGAAAAAAATTGTCATTCACTGACCACTTCCTTAGTTACATGGACCACTTCCTAGGTTATACGGACCACTTCCTTGGTTACATGGACCACTTCCTGTGCTACATGGACCACTTCCTAGGTTACAGGACCACTTCCTTGGTTACATGGACCACTTCATAGGTTACACAGACCACTTCCTAGGCTACATGGACCACTTCCTTGGTTACATTGACCACTTTCTCGGTTACACGGACCACTTCCTTGGTTACATGGACCACTTTCTAGGTTACACAGACCACTTCCTAGGCTACATGGACCACTTCCTTGGTTACATGGATCACTTCCTCGGTTACATGGACCACTTCCTTGGTTACATGGAGCACTTCCTCGGTTACATGGACCACTTCTTAGGTTACACAGACCACTTCCAAGGTTACATGGACCGCTTCCTAGGTTACACAGACCACTTCCAAGGTTACATGGACCGTTTCCTAGGTTACATGGATCACTAAATTGAATATATGGACCATTTCCATGGTTACATGGACCACTTTCTTAGTTACATGGACCACTTCCTTGGTTACATGGACCACTTCTTAAATTACACGGACCACTTCCTAGCTTACATGGACTACTTCCTAGGTTAAATGGACCACTTTCTCGGTTATATGGGCCACTTCCTTGGTCACATGGATTACCTCCTTGGTTACATGGACCACTTCTTTGGTTACATGGACCACTTCCTCGGTTACATTGACCTCTTTCCCCGGTTACATGGACCACTTCCTAGGTTACATGGACCACTTCCTTGGTTACATGGAGCACTTCCCAGCTTACACAGACCACTTCCAAGGTTATATGGACTGCTTCCTAGCTTACATGCACCACTTTCTCGGTTACATGGACCACTTCGTTGAATATATGGACCTCTTCCATGGTTACATGGACCACTTCTCTCGGTTACATGGACCACTTCCTCGCTTACATGGACCACTTTCTCGGTTAGTGAGGTTTATTTACTGAATGTAAGACAGTATATACTGATAGTGAGGTGGTATATAGTGATGGTGAGGTAGTGTATACTTATAGTGAGGTAGTATATACTGATAGTGGGGTGGTATAAAGTGATAGTGAGGTAGTATATAGTGATAGTGAGGTAGTATATAGTGACAGTGAGATTTATTTACTGATTGTGAGGTATTATATATTGACAGTAAAGTAGTGTTGTTCTGACCAACATATTTATTAAACGGAATATCCAGTATAAAGCAACGCCAGCATAGACATATTTTGTTTTTGATATTCGCTTGGTGGTGTCTCTGAATTAGTTATTTATATTCTGATAATCTGACAATAATGCCCTCCACATTTTTGTGATGTGTTTTATTTTCTTCCTCGTGTCCTTTTAAATATTGTTCATGCACCCGATCCAGGAAGTATTACCGGAACTAGCACATTTTTGTTAGCAACTAGATCGGGTGTTTTCTGGAAGCTTCAAGAACATATGGGTTATTTGTTTTGTTTTTAAAAAAAATAAAACACCCCTAGATGCTGTCATTCTTTGCTGACCCTGTCCTGAATGCCTCTGACAACCCCACCTTTAAATAAGAAGTATTGAAAAGATAACACGAAGTAACAGAAAAGGCGTCAGCTCATTTCGCACAATGCATGATCGTGACAGCTCGTATCTATTGATCACCCACTTGGTTTTGTCAGCTCATAAAATAGAAAGATAATCAAGCCGGCCCACTGCAGTGCGCTATCTATGTGTCCTACAAGTGTTACGCACTAGCCTGTCTCACAGTCCCCAACCCCTACCATCAAGCCTTTATGTATAAGCCCTGTAGCCCTTAATAAATCAACTCCCGATTTTCCACGTGCTCTAAATCTCCCATTTACTGTGGCTGCTTCTCAGTTTAAATGGTGTGATTTGTTGCTACCAAAATAACATGTTTTTAGAGACTAAGGTTTAGACTAGCTTAATCGCGTGCACTTCTGATAACACACGTACGTTTCATAGAATTAGGTCTTT